ACCAACTCCAGGGTCCTCAGCACCAGCAGCAGCTCCAACTCCAGGGTCCGCAGCACCAGCAGCAGCTCCAACTCCAGGGTCCGCAGCACCAGCAGCAGCTCCAACGCCCGGGTCCGCAGCACCAGCCGCAGCTCCAACTCAGGGTCCGCAGCACCAGCAGCACCTCCAGGAGTAGCAGTACCTCCAGCAGCTCCAACAGCAACAGCACCACCAGCACCTCCAGCAACTCCTGCAGCACCAGCAGCACCACAAGTAGCAGCAGCACCTCCAGCAGCTCCAGCAGCTCCAGCACCAGCAGTACCTCCAGCAGCGCCAACAGCACCGCCAGCAGCAGCACCTCCAGCAGCTCCAGCACCAGCAGCACCTCCACTAGCACCAGCAGCACCGCCGGCAGCAGCAGCACCTCCAGCTCCAGGGTCCGCGACACTAGGAGCGCCACTCTGGAGACTGCAGCGCCGTGCGTACCACTCTCGGAGCCGCTGGGGAGAGGGTAGCTCCCGCCTAGGAGGGGAAGCACTAGCCCCAGCTCCAGCAGTACTCCTAGCTCCAGAAGCACCTCTCCTGAGGCTGCAGTACTGTAAGTACCACTCACGCAGCTGCTGTGAGGAGAGAGCTCCTCCAGGTGTAGCACTCCCAGGCGCAGCACCTCCAGACTCAGCACCCCCAGACTCAGCACCCGCAGGCTCCGCACCCCCAGGCTCAGCACCCCCAGACTCCGCACCCCCAAGCTCCGCACCCCCAGGCTCCGCACGCTCAGGCTCAGCACCCTCAGCAGGACGAGAGTCGACAGCTACCTTGACAGGCTCAACCGGGTCTACCTGGGACACACCTGAGGGAGCGGCACCCTGAGGGGGGAGGGGGTCTACCACAGCAGCACCTGGCGCGAGGAAGAGAGGCGGGGGGGGGAAGCGGGGCAGTGCGGTAGGGGAAGAGGCGGTAGTAGGGGACGGACTCGTCGAACGTGACGTCCTGAGAAGGCAGGACACTGCGCGAGGTGGGGTGGTAAAACTGCCAACCAGACGCGTCCGGGACAAAGCCAAGAAGACACAAGGAACAGCGCGGGAGGAGAGCTTGTCCGCAGACGTATCGCGGACAAAAGCTCGAGATCCCCAGACCCGAAAGCGTGACGCATCGCCAACCTCTCCCGTCCAACGCAGTGTCGGCGAAGTCTCCGGAACGGAGACACGGGGCCAGAGGTTGAGCTGATGCGCAGCGTAGCGGACCGCAAACGGCCACAGAAAGTGGGGGGCAGCCGCATGGATCAAGGAGGTACGAGCGACCTCCATGACCAAGCCAATGCGGCGCTCAGCAACCCCATTCTGCTGTGGAGAGGCCGGAAGCGTGAACGACTGGCGAATGCCGTGCTCCGCACAGTAGGCTGCCAAGAGGTCGGAGGAGAACTCACCACCTCTGTCAGAGTGCAAGCGCAGGACAGGAAAGTCCGAGTGGAAACGCTCGCTGAGCTGGAGACGAGAAGCGCGGATCCAAGGGATCAAAACATCAGGGACCTCACCCTTGGTGCGCAAGGGGAAGACCGTGGTGTAGCGCGAGTAGTCGTCAACAACTATCAGGAAGTACCTCTCCTGACCCTGACCACGGACGCGGGCTGGGCCCCACACGTCCATGTGGAGCGTCTGCAAGGGAGCAGTCGTCGGGGGAAAAGAGGAGGAGTGAGGAGCGGCGCGCTGCCGCCCCTCGACACAGGGAAGATAGGGAGGAGCAGGCGAGGGTGGGAGGGGAGGGAGAACCCTGGGAAGACCAGAGACAAGGTACCGTTTGTGCATGGCACGAAGGCGCTGCACGGACGGGTGACCAAGTCGGTGGTGCCAGAGGACGGTCTCGTGCGCCAGAGAGCGACACGAGCAGGGGGCCGACAGCTGACCTGACGCAGACGCAGACGCAGCTACCTGAGGGGACTCAGTGGTCAGTGTGTACAGGTCCGACCCCGGCTGCCGAGTGAAGGTAGCCAGGTGACGGCCCGTCCGAGCACACGTGCAGCGTGTCACGCGCTCGTAGGCAGGGGTGAACTGGTGAACACCCCCGTCCTGGAGCGCACAACCTGCCACCAAGTTCGTAGAGAACGAGGGGAGGTGGAGACCTGACAGTGTGCCCGACGGGACCGCAGGACAAGGAAGGACAGTGGAGGAGGTCGCAATGACCGGACCCCCAGAGGGGTCAGCGAGAGAGACAGCAACTGGCCGAGCAAGCGGCTCAAGGGTAGTGCGGTCACGAAAGAAACAGCGAGAAGCACCTGAGTCCAGTGTGAAGGTGTGCAGTGCCTCAGTCGACTCAGTACCAGGGGGGGCAGACTCACTAGCACCTAGAGCAGCAGCCTCACCAGCACCTGGGGTAGCAGACACGCGAGTACCGGGAGTGGTAGCCTCACCAGCACCTAGGGCAACAGACGCACTAGCACCTAGAGCGGCAGCCTCACTCACAGGACACGGCAGCTGCACCTGTCCACTACCAGAAGCTCCCGAACGACGCACTCCAGAGCGACTACCACTACGGCCACCCCGACAGCCCCAACTGGCGTACCACTCACGAAGCTGCTGGGGCAAAAGAGGACACGACAGCTGCACCTGTCCACTACCAGGAGCTCCCGAACGACCCACTCGAGAGCGACTACCACTACGGCCACCCCGACAGCCCCAACTAGCGTACCACTCACGAAGCTGCTGGGGCGTGAGGGACTCACGCGCACGGCCCTGGAGCTGCATCTGGCCATGCCAGGAGCAGCAGTAGCAGCAGTAGCGGCAGTAACAGCAGTAACAGTAGGAGCAGTAGAGGCAGTAGCAGCAGTAGTAGTGGTAGCAGTGCGGGCAGGGTAATGCTCACCAGTGGTCGGCGCGGTAGGCGCAAGACGGTGGCGACAGCGGGGCCGCTACAACTGCAGGGCGGGGCTGGGCCGCGGCAGGGAGCTCCGCGGCAGCTGCTGCAGGGCGGGGCCGGGCCGCGACGGCAGCTGCTCCAGGGGTCAGGGGCGGCTGCTGCAGGGGCGGCTGCTCCAGTGGCCAGGGGCGGCTCTTGCAGTGGCGGCTGGTCCAAGGGCCAGGGACGGCTGCTGCAGGGGCGGCTGCTCCAGGGGCCAGGGGCGGCTCTTGCAGTGGCGGCTGCTCCAGGGGCCAGGGGCGGCTGCTCCAGGGTCCAGGGGCGGCTCCTGCTGTGGTGGCTGCTCTAGGTGGCCAGGGGCGGCTGCTGCAGGGGCGGCTGCTCCAGGGTCCAGGGGCGGCTGTAGGTGCAGCTGCTCCAGAGGCCAGGGGCGGCTGCTGTAGGTGCGGCTGCTCTAGGGGCCAGGGGCGGCCGTCCCAAGGGCGGGCGCGGGGTAGGGCAGGGCGCCACGGTGAGCAGGGGCGACGCGCAGGTCGCGCGCGGGGGCGACGCGACGAGGCAGGGGCGACGCGTGCGGGTCCCGCAGCTGCGTCGCGACGAGGCGGGGGCGACGCGCGGGTCTCGCAGCTGCGTCGCGACGAGGCAGGGGCGACGCGCGGGTCCTGCAGCTGCGTCGCGACGAGGCGGGGGCGACGCGCGGGTCCCGCAGCTGCGTCGTGACGAGGCGGGGGCGACGCGCGGGTCCCGCAGCTGCGTCGCGACGAGGCGGGGGCGACGCGCGGGTCCCGTAAGGGCGTCGCGAAGGGGCAGGGGGGGCGACGCGCACGGGTTCCGGCGGGCTGCAGGCGTCGGCGTGAAGTAGCCGCGGCGCGCGGGTCACGGCCTGCGCGTGAGCGGCCTACGGGCGGCCTACGGGCTGCCTACGGGCTGCCTACGGGCTGCCTACGGACGGCAGCGGCCTACGGGCGGCGTACAGGCTGCCTACGGGCGGCAGCGGCCTACGGGCGGCGTACTGGCGGCCTACGGGCGGCCGCGGCCTACGGGCCGCGTACGGGCAGCGTAAGGGCGGCCTACAGGCGACGGCAGGCGACGGGCAGCCTACGGGCGATGGGCAGCCTACGGGCGGCGGCCACTAGGGCGCACGACGGCGCTAGTAGGGGCGGTCGACGGCGCTAGAAGGGGCGCTCGACGGCGCTAGGAGGGGCGCTCGACGGCGCAAGAAGGGGCGCTCGACGGCGCGAGAAGGGGCGCTCGACGGCGCGGTGGAACGGTGGGCCCAAACCAACTTCGGTCCTAGGTCCTGACCTAGGCGTCGGATACCATGTTGAAAAGTAGAGGTGAACGAGAATGGATGAAACTAGGTAGGAGGGGGATACAAGTAGGAAACCCTAACAAAGTTGTACCCCCTAAGGCTAAACCCACTATAGCCTACACAATTTAAACATATAATGTTTGACAAAGGGCACTCCGCTGCGCCAAATAACCCCATGTTGTGGCACAACCCGCCGTCACGCCGTCACTTTCTCTGTTGTCCTATCTCGCCGTCGCTCTCTCTGCGAGACTATCGCGCCGCCCCTCATTCTGCCCAACCATGTACGGCGAATCTGCGCCCATATCTCGCCAACCTCTGCCATCCATGGCTACTGTCACATGTGCTGCGCCTCTCCACCGCGCCTCTCCGCTGCGCCGATCGGTTTTCCGCCCGCTCGCCACGATGGGCGGCTTTCCGCCGCTGCTCGCGCTCGCCCTCATTCTCGGTCCGTCCACCCGCCGTGCCGCCCCGCGAGTGCTGCTGTGTGTGCATTCCGGTGTGCTTTCGTTAGTCCCTTCAGGCAAAGTTTGCCTCATTGTGCCTACCGGCCCCATCGCCTTCACGCTTCGCCATGTGTCCCCAGAGCTCTCCGCAGCACTCTATACTTGAGAGTGGCATTCGTGTTCGCACGCTAGGGCAGAATGCGGAATGCGGCCGACCAGGGCAGAAGGGAATGCGGGCCTACCAGGGGAGACCACACCAATGAACTACCCGCTCTGCTCTTCCCCCACTCTCGTCCCTGCTCGCCCTCCCTAGCAGCCAGTGATGTCATCCCGGTTGCATCCGCCGGAGACTCTACTTGGCCCATGGAGGTGCCGGCCAGGATGGTGGTGGCGACGCAGGTGACAGTGGGCGCCTACAAGGTCACCTTCGACCCCTCCTCGCGCTGCGTGAGAGTGCCAGCAGGCACGGCGCCCGCTGGCGTGGCCACGCCTGTGAGCGTGCAGTGGGGGAGCAGCAGCAAGTTATCGGGATGCGGGGCGAGTGTGCCGTGCAACCATGTGTCGTTCTTCTTGGGCGCTAGCGGCGACGGCGACACCGTGGCGGAGTACTCCCGCCCCGTGTTAGAGTACGCTATAAACACTTTGCGTTTAGCGGATACACGCTAGCGCGTATACGGCTACACGCTAGGCAAGTGCATCAAAAAAATGCCAACACCAGCGGGGTGTCAGACTTATATGCTATAGTCTGTGTAGGCTGTAGTGGGGTAGACAATATGGGGTACAACACTTTTAGGTCATCCTACTTGTACCCACCTGTTTCCTAGTGCATTCATTCCTTGTTCTTTCACATGGTATCAGAGCAGGTTCCCTAGTGGGAACGTTTCCTAGGGCCCACCGAAAATTCGAAAGTTTTTTTTTTTTTTTTTTTTTTTTTTTTTTTTTTTTGGCATGAAGGACCAGCTTCGGATCTGAAAAAAAGGCATTTCTTACAGCACTTGTACCCAGTTAATGTAACCGATACCGCTTCCAACAAGCGACATCACAACCCCCAAAACTGTAGGCTTCAAAACCAGCTATAGCTTAAGCTCTGGCCAGCTCAGCAGTCGCTCAGGCAGCGCACGGCGACGTGCTTGGAGCCGGTGCCCACCTGCCCCCTCTCGCTGCGGCGCAGCGCCTTGTGCAGATTTTATGGCATAGGCCAGCGCCGCCTTGTTCAGCCGCGGCTCGTACGTCTTTAGCCGGTCCGTGATGTTCTTGGCGATCTGCGGCATGTCCTTCTTGAGCACGATGACCTCGCGCGCCTCGGCGGGCTTGTGCGCCTTGTCGGGGTGCGTAATCGTCATCTCCAGGTTCTGCCCCTTGCCCGTCGCGCGGATCGCCACCGTCTTGCCCGCCGCCAGACCGGTGTACTTGCGCGAGTGGAGCGCGACGAGGTTGTTGGGCTCGCAGCTGAGGTGGCGCTTGGAGCCGACGGCCGTGCGCGCCTTGTAGCAGTGGCCCTGGTTCAGCAGCACCCACACCAGGTCGTCGAACGCGTTGGGGTAAGCCATGGCGCGACGAATGTGAAGTCGGAGGGAAGTGGGAGGTAGTGGAAGCAAAGCACGTGAAAGCAGGAGGAAGTAGTAGGTCAAGGAAAGGAGCGCACTTCACCCCTGCCCGAGTCGCGCCCCGCGTCCCCCGCCCTTAGTGGCCCCTTAGCCGCTCCCTCGCGGCCCCTCTCACGGCCCCTCGCGGCCCCTTAGCCGCTCCCTCGCGGCCCCACTCACGGCCCCTCGCGGCCCCTCTATCACGGCCCCTCGCGGCCCCTCTATCACGGCCCCTCGCGGCCCCTTAGCCGCTCCCTCGCGGCCCCTCTCACGGCCCCTCGCGGCCCCTTAGCCGCCCCCTCCGCGGCCGTTCGCGGCCCCTCGCGGCCCCTCTCACGGCCCCTCGCGGCCCCTTAGCCGCTCCCTCACGGCCCCCCCCCTCTCACGGCCCCTCGCGGCCCCTCTCACGGCCCCTCGCGGCCCCTTAGCCGCCCCCTCCGCGGCCGTTCGCGGCCCCTCGCGGCCCCTCTCGCGGCCCCTCTGCGGCCGTTCGCGGCCCCTCGCGGCCCCTCTCGCGCCCCCCCCCCCCCCTCGCGGCCCCTCGTGGCTCGTCGCGCGGCCCCTCCGCGGCCGTTCGCGGCGCCTCGCGGCCACTCTCCCGGCCCCTCGCGGCCCTGTCGCGGCCCCTCGCGGCCCCTCGTGGCTCGCCGCGGCTCGTCGCGGCCCCTCCGCGGCCCCTCTCCAGGCCCCTCGTGGCCCCGTCAAGGCTCCCTCGCGGCCCCGTTGCGGCTCCCGCGTCGCCCCTGCCCGCCGCGGCGCCCTGCCCTAACCCGCGCCCTGGAGCAGCCGCCACTTCAGCCCTGCAGCACCCGCCCCCTGCAGCAGCCGCGCCGCCCCCTGACCGCCGCGGCGCCCTGCCCTAACCCGCGCCCTGCAGCAGCCGCCCCCTGGAGCAGCTGCCACTGCAGCAGCCGCCTCTGGAGCAGCCGCCACTGCAGCAGCCGCCCCTGGAGCAGCCGCCACCTGCAGCAGCCGCCCCTGGAGGAGCCGCCACTGCAGCAGCCGCCCCTGGAGCAGCCGCCACTGCAGCAGCCGCCCCTGGAGCAGCCGCCACTGCAGCAGCCGCCCCTGGAGCAGCCGCCACTGCAGCAGCCGCCCCTGGAGCAGCCGCCCCTGCAGCAGCCGCCCCTGGAGCAGCCGCCACTGCAGCAGCCGCCCCTGGAGCAGCCGCCACTGCAGCAGCCGCCCCTGGAGCAGCCGCCCCTGCAGCAGCCGCCCCTGGAGAAGCCGCCACTGCAGCAGCCGCCCCTGGAGCAGCCGCCACTGCAGCAGCCGCCCCTGGAGCAGCCGCCCCTGCAGCAGCCGCCCCTGGAGCAGCCGCCACTGCAGCAGCCGCCCCTGGAGCAGCCGCCACTGCAGCAGCCGCCCCTGGAGCAGCCGCCCCTGCAGGAGCCGCCCCTGGAGCAGCTGCCCCTGCAGCAGCCGCGGAGCCCTCGCCCTGCAGTGGTAGCGGCCTCGCCGTTGCCGCCGTCGTACGCCTGCCCTTCTCGCCACTGGTGAGCACTGCCCTGCCCGTACTGCTGTTACTGCTACTCTTGCTGCTACTGCTCTTTCTACTGCTACTGCTGCTTCTAGCGTGGCCAGATGCAGCTCCAGCGCCGTCCGCGTGAGTCCCTCACCCCCCAACAGCTTCGTGAGTGGTACGCTAGTTGGGGTTGTAGGGGTGGCCGCGCTACGACTACTGCTACTGCTTCTACTGCTGCTACTGTGGCTACCACTGCTCCTCCTGCTCCTGGCGGTGGCCAGATGCAGCTCCAGCGACGTCCGCGTGAGTCCCTCACGCCCCAGCAGCTTCGTGAGTGGTACGCTACTTGGGGTTGTCGGGGTGGCCGTAGTGGGAGTCGTTCTGGCGTGAGGAGTTCGGGAGCTACTTGTAGTGGCCAGGTGCAGCTGCAGCGTAGTCCGCCCGCGGTCCTTTCGCCCCAGCAGCTTCGTGAGTGGTACGCTCAGCGTGGAGGGTCACGGAGTTCTGCCCGCTGTCCGTACGTCATTCGCACTGGTGCTCGGACTGGTCAGCCCTGCGGGACGCTTGGTCACGCCGAGTCCCGCTGCTTCGCCCGTCTGAGCGACGTCTGGCGTACGGAGTTTGGCGACGCCGCTGAGCTCCCCGACTGGGTGGAGCTGCTTAGGCAGAGGGTAGATATCTATGCTCTTGACTATGATGCTATCCTCACTGCCATGTATGCATTGCCTACTAGTGATGTGGGTGACTGTTACCTGTGTGTTCCGCCTGACCCGGGCATTGAGGCTGCTGCTCTAGGTGCTGGTGAGGCTGCTGCTCTAGGTGCTAGTGCGTCTGCTCCTCCAGGTGCTGGTGAGTCTGCTGCCCCAGGTGCTGGTGAGTCTGCTTCCCCAGGTGCTGGTGAGTCTGCTGCCCTAGGTGCCGGTGAGTCTGCTCTCTCAGGTACCACGTCGTCTCAGGTGTTACGCACCTTCACCCTAGACTCGGGTGCTTCCCGCTCCTTCTTTCGAGACCGCACCACACTCACGCCGCTTAGTCGGCCGGTTGCAGTCTCCCTGGCAGACCCCTCTGGGGGTCCCGTCCTTGCCCACTTCTCCACTGTCTTACCGTGTCCGGCGGCCCCTTCTGGCTCTCTGTCGGGTCTTTACCTCCCCTCGTTCTCTACGAACTTGGTGAGTGGTGCTGACCTACAGGACGCAGGGGTTGACCAGTTCACCCCTGCACGTCAGCGAGTGACCCACTGTACGTGTGCTAGGACGGGCCGACACTTGGCCACGTTTACCCGTCAGCCGGGGTCGAGCCTGTACACGCTGACTGCTGAGTCTCCTCAGGTAGCTGCGTCGAGTCAGGTCTTTGCTGCAGCGTCCAGGTCTGGCCCTGAGTCTGCCCCCTGCTCGTGTCGTCTCCTGTCTCACCAGACTCTCCTCTGGCACCACCGTCTTGGTCACCCCTCCCTGCCTCGTCTCCGAGGCATGGCCTCTCGTTTCCTTGTCTCGGGTCTCCCCCGGTCCCTCCCTTCTCTTCCTCCGGGGCCTGGCCCCACCTGCGTTCCCTGCGTCGAGGGGCGGCAGCGCGCCGCTCCTCACTCCTCCGAGTTTCCTCCGACAGAGGCTCCGCTGCAGACGCTTCACATGGACGTGTGGGGCCCAGCCCGCGTCCGTGGGCAGGGTCACGAGCGTTACTTCCTGCTGGTGGTTGACGACTACTCGCGTTTCACCGCAGTCTTCCCCTTGCGCAGCAAGGGTGATGTCACTGAGGTGTTGATCGACTGGATCCGCGCAGCTCGTCTCCAGCTCAGAGAGAGTTTCGGCTCGGACTTTCCTGTCTTGCGTCTGCACTCCGACAGAGGCGGTGAGTTTTCCTCTGACCTTCTGCGAGCCTTCTGTCGTGCACAGGGCATCCGCCAGACGTTCACGCTTCCGGCCTCTCCACAGCAAAATGGGATTGCTGAGCGCCGCATTGGCATGGTCATGGACATCGCTCGCACGTCCATGATCCATGCGGCTGCTCTCCATTTTCTATGGCCGTTCGCGGTTCAGTACGCGGCGCATCAGATCAACCTTCAGCCCCGGGTCTCCTTGCCGGAGACCTCCCCTACTCTGAGGTGGACGGGGAAGGTTGGCGATGCGTCTGCGTTTCGTGTCTGGGGATCTCGGGCTTTTGTCCGCGACTTGTCTGCGGACAAGCTGTCCCCCCGTGTTGTTCCCTGCGTCTTCCTTGGCTTCCCCCCCGACGCGCCTGGTTGGCAGTTTTACCACCCCACCTCGCGCCGTGTTCTGTCCTCCCAGGACGTCACCTTTGACGAGTCGGTCCCCTCCTACCGGCTCTTCCCCTACCGCACTGCCCCGCTCCCCCCTCCTCCGCTCTTCCTCACGCCAGGTGCTGCCTTGGTAGACCCCTTGCCTCCCCAGGTCCCTGCTCCCTCAGGTGTTTCTCAGGTAGACCCGGTTGAGCCTGTCGAGGTAGCTGTCGACTCTGGTCCTGCGCGAGGTACTGAGCGTGCTGAGCCTGGGGGTGCGGAGACTGGGGGTGCTGAGCCTGGGGGTGCGGAGACTGGGGGTGCTGAGCCTGGGGGTGCTGTCCCTGGGGGTGCGGGTTCTGGAGGTCCTAAGCCTGGGGGTGCTGTCCCTGGGGGTGCGGGTTCTGGAGGTCCTGAGCCTGGGGGTGCTGCGCCTAGGGGAGCTCTCTCTTCCCAGCAGCTACGTGACTGGTACTCTCGGTACTGTCGCGGCCTCCGGGGTGCTGCTGGAGCTGCTGGCGTTCGTCCTGCTGGAGGTGCTGCTGGTGCTGCTGGAGGTACTGGAGCTGCTGGTTGTGCTGTGGGTACAGGAGCTGCTGGGCCTGGAGGTGCTCCTGGCACTGGAGCTGCTGGCGGTGCTGGAGCTGGCGGTCCTGCTGGTGTTGGCACTGGAGGTGCTACTGGCGCTGGTGCTTCTGAGGGTGCTGGCATAGGCGCTGCTGGAGTCGGAGGTGCTGCTGGTGCTGGAGCTGGCGGTGCTGCTGGCGCTGGTGCTTCTGAGGGTGCTGGAGATGGCGCTGCTGGAGCTGGAGGTGCTGCGGGCGCTGGTGCTGCCGCTGGGGGTCCTGGCGCTGTCCCTGCTGTTTCTGGAGTCGCTGCGCGGCCGCGGCCGTACTTCGTTCCGCTCCTTGAGCAGGTTCTTGGACTCCCGCCTTCTACTGGTCCTCCTCCTCCCTTAGAGTGTCCACAGCCTGACCAGTTGCAGTCACAGTTACAGCCCGCCTCCCCACTGCCTGCTCCTTCTCCCTACACTGGTCCTACTGGAGGTCTTGCTGAGCGTCGTGCGCCTGCGTCTCGTCCTGCGTCGCCTGTTCGTACTGCTCGCACTAGTCGTCGTGTTCCGCGTCAGCGTCCTCCTGCGGTCCCGGGCATGCACCAGATGGCACTGCGTCCTTCCACTGCTCCGCAGCGTGTCCCTTTGCTGTCTCCTCCTGAGTCCTCTCTTCCTGCTCTTGCTGACCCGGAGTCGGACTCTCTTCGTGC